TTTTCCTATGGTTGCAAATATCAAGAAATTTCTATATGTGACACGGCACCAGAGTTAAGTTAGGGTTTTTCAAAATGCTGACACGCCGAGCTCAAAGGTTCGCCACCACTGTCCTAGACTGAGTCCGTAAGGAGAGGGTCTGCGTGTGTGTACCCATCACCATGCTTCCCATGGGCCCTTGCACAGATGTTCTTGTTGGATGGGACTATACTGCAATCTCCTCCACATTCATGGATATAAAGCTTAAGTAGGACCTTCTTTATCCCGGGGCCGAGGTTTTTCATTATTGGAGGGATAGTGAGGGTGGGGAGCACTACATAGGGGTGCCCCTTTTTACTTTCTGCTCTTTAAAATCAAAAGACAAAGGCCGGCCTCCCGGAGGCAGAGTTCACTCCAGTGCTGGCAACTCCCGCGTTGCCCTCAAGTTTCACATTCTGCTACCTCAGCTTCATCGGCCGAGGCAGGGAAAGCTGCAGGAAGACTTGTTTGACATTTATTCCCAGGGTTTTTTTTTTTTAATTTCCTCTGAAATGAATATGAACACACCATGGTCTTTACACTCTGCAGGAGCTAATCCCCACTGGAAACCTTCTTGGGGCACCTCGCTCCTTCTCGCGGATGCAATCTGTCGACATAGGCATTCCTGCAGGCTCTCCTGAAGGGCCCACAGTCCATGCAGTGGCTCTCTTGTTGGAGCTCTGTTACATTTAAAACGATGGCTTTTTAAAAAGAAAATAACATAGGGATTGCTTCCAGAACCCAGGTGCCTGTGTGAAACGCTGCCTTCTGTTGGAGGCGAGGCGGCTTTCAGTGGCTTGTCCGGGCAGTGCGTGTGCCCCACGGCTTCACGGCCACTGCCAGGGGGGCGGTTACTCGAGCCTGAACCCACCGCACACGCTCCATAGGAAATGTGTACTTTCCATGTTGAAAGAACCATGAGAAGAAAATATTTTTATAAATGAAAGTGCTCAACCAGTACTATTCACTGAGCAAAATCATATTTTCCTTTAATGTCTTGGGCCAAATATCAATTGCATTAACAAAGAAAAATCTGGCTGAAATATTTAATCCCCAGATATTTGATGGCAATCAGATTCTCCATATTTATCCAGTGAGCAGGTATTAACTGTGTGCTGTGTGCACAGCACCATGTGGAGGCTCTGTGGAGGCATTTTGTCAAGTAAGTATTTGATTGCAGGAAGCTTTTGTTAAGAACAGTTCTTCAAATTGATTTTGGAGGGGGGGTGAAGAGAGACAGAGAGAGAAACATCGATATGTTTTTCCACTTGTTTATGCATTCATTGCTTGGTTCTTGTATGTGCCCTGACTGGGATTGCACCCGCAACCTTGGCATATAGGGTCAATGCCTTAACTGAACCGAGTTACCCCGTCAGGGCAAGAAGCATTTTTTAAGGCCCTTGATTTATTTTGTGACTAACTCGAAATAAAAATTCTTATGTTTGCTGATCCAGTTGAGGTTAAATTTCTCAGTGCTGAGGAAGCCGATCTGTCACATTACCTGCCCAGGCATTTCCCCACATCTGTGCTTTTAAATCACACAGAGTATTTTCTCAGTACAGAATAAGGAGTCCTCAGTATAAGCATTCCCAGGTCCCTGAGTCACATGGAATGAGAATCCACCTTCGAGTTAGAGTCTAAGTCATATATCTATCTCCCCCACACTCTCTGATGCAGCTTTCTGCTGGTTTCTTGGGTGGCCAGTCACATGACAGCTACATGACTTTGAGACAGGAACTGAAATAAAATTCCTATAATACCCTTAGGGGGAAAGGGGATTGTCACTGTTGAGCATTTTAGTCAGTGACTTAATTCCTTTTAAAGTTCCCTCCGCCCTCACTTAGAGCTTAAACTCGACCCAAAAGAGCTGCTTAGTTTACCTACTGAATCCACAATACTTCAAGCTGCTGTGGTTTTGTGGATTTTCTTCCGAGGATTTCAGGTGCTAAATGATAAAACATATGCCCTGGTAGAGTTTATTCAATACTCTAGTCAGCAAAGCTTCATCCGGGTTGGACTCTAGGAGAAGGAAGAACTGAAAAGCAAAGCAAATGGTGTTTCCAGAAAGTACATTTTTTGATGGTATTGAGTCTGAAGCCCACAAGGTATGCTCTCAGACACCAATTTTCAGGTGGCTGTGATTAGTACACAGGAATCCTCCAGCCCAACCTCTAAGTCTCTCTCATCGTGTAACAAAGCCATGAAGCGGAAGCAATGTTATAGATGCGTGACTTCCACCCCAAAGATCCATGTCAAGGGTAAGAAATGCATCCCCTAAGTCATTGTTCCATGGCACTTTTCCTTTCTAACTAAATAACTCAGTAAATGGCCATTCCATCCTTCCAGTGGCTCAGACCAAAGCCTTGGAATTGTCTTGACTCCTTTCTCTCTTAGCATCCAAGGTGTCAGCAAGTGTTGTTGGCCCAAGGACCAAAAGGTTGCCGGTTCAATCCTGGATTGCAGGTTTGATCCCTGGTCCTGGTCGGGGCATGAGCAGGAGGCACCCACACTATATGTCTCACTCACATCTATGTTTCACTTTCTCTCCCCCGTTCCCTTCCACTCTCTCTAAAAAATAAAAAATAAAAAAAATCAATGGAAAAATATCCTCGGGTGAGAATTAACAAACAAAAAACAAATAGAAATATATCCAGAATCCAACCACTTCTCACCACCTCCACCATGTCTACACTGCTCCACACTACATCATCTCTCCCCTGAATTCCTGCTCCACCCTCACCCCTCACTGTCTCCACACAGTAGCCAGAGTCATCCTGTTACAACTTCAGTCAGATCATATCACCCTTCTGCTCAAAACTCTGCAATGGCCTACATAGTAAAATGCAGGGCCCAGACAGTGGCCTCCTGGCCCTATAAGCCCCACCTCCCCCCAATACCTAAGTTAACGTCTCTCTATCTCTCTCACTCCCAAACATCTACACCAACCTCTGTGATGCTCTTCCAACAAGCCAGGAACAGTCCTAGCTCAGGGTCTTGCGCTATTGGACAGCAGCCTGCCTTGGAACACTCTTCTCCCCAGTAACACTTGTCCTTTCACCTCCTTACGTCTCATCCCAAAGGTCACATTTCCAGTAGGAACCACCCTGATCACTCTCTAAAACTGTAATTCCCAATTCCTGGCACTCCTTGCCCCTTCTCTGTCTTGCTATCTCTACAACACTTATCACCACCTGACAAACTATTCATTAACTCCTTTATTTGTTCATAATCTGTCTCCCTCCACAGGAAGGAATGTTCCATGAAGGCAGGAATTCTTGTCTATTTTGTCCACTGCTGTATTTGCAGCACCTAGCAAAGACACTGGCCTAGATTAGGTGTTCAGTAAATATCTGAACAATGAATGAATGAACGAATGAGCAAACAAATGGCTAGTTGGACTATGGGGTTATGTACTTTAGAACTCTAGGCTTTGCTGTTTATTCCCAGATAATCTTCAACACACATATCATAATAACATCTTCAGAGTCTGTAGCAGGTTTTATTAAAGGACTTCTGGAATCCTTTTGGATCAAATGAGGTTATGTCGAGGCTCTACATACAGACAGGCCCTTGCCAGCAGGTCAGGTCAGGGTGGGGGTTTGGGGGTCTGATACTGGTGCTTTTTCTGTCCAGGGACCTAGAGCTAGTGCTAGGGAAGCTGGAGCCATTCTGGGATGAGAGAGTGTACTGGCCTCCAGCCCCTATCTGCCTCTAACACCAACCACACACTCATGTCCAACACTGAGATTTTCTTTTATACAAACACAGACTCCCTCAAACTGGGGTATCACTGCAGGAAAGAAACTTTCCAATGGAAACTTGGGAAGACGGAGGAATGTACTATATGTCCAAAGATTCATGTTTTGATTTGAGATTGGTTTTGGGTTCAAGTAGAAAAGGAATGTTGATAGTAATATGCCTTCTGAGGATTCTATTTTTCACAAAGAAAATAAAGGCAACATGGAAAAGAAATACCTGATCATCAGCATTTTGTTCAGTAGTAATGTGAACATTTTTTTTTGGAGGGGGGGGCATATGTGTGTGTGAGAGAGAAAGTTAAGTGGAGAAGGATAAAGTAACATAAAACTTGTTTTCAAAATAAAGTTTCTTGAATAGATCTATTCTCTCGGCTTCTTTTTCTGTTGCATAATCCCAAAGGATCAGTTCAAAGATTAGTCAATTTTGGGACAAGAAAGAAAATAGCATCATTGAAACCAGTGTTTCTCACTGAAGGTCATCAGAATTACCCAATTCTGTTTCAAATACTGAAAATCACCTTAAAATATTTTCCAAAGAATTGATAAAGCACCGATATAAAGTTTAAGTGGAAATTGCTGCAAGTTTGCATTTGCTTAGATATTAGATTCTTTTTAAGAAGATAATGGCTGCCTTGGCAAGAAGGATAGAAGAACATTACACGGTTCGTTCCGGCTAAGAAATGTAGAGGGACACACATTCCTCAGTCATAGGTCTACGATTTTTAACATCATTTCTCCTTGCAGTGACCACTTAGGAGAAAGCACACGCCATGGACGGGTGGGGTGCTAGTCCTGCTGAGCGGGCCTTGCTTTCTCATTCTCTCATTCTGCAGGGAGGGTGACGCGGCAGGACTGTACGTCACCTTAGGAGCAGAAGTTGTACCTTACAAGGTACCCTGCAAGGTGGCAAGCACAGAACCAGACACACAGTAGGCACTCAGTAACTCCCCGCTGCCCGAACATTGCTGCCGGCGATTATGTGAAACTCTGACATACGTTTTGACATTGTTAACAGGCACAGAAGGATTGCCCTGTAGAAGGCAAGATGCCCTGCGAAAAAGCCAAGGACACACAGGGAAAAGAAAGTGATGGAACAGACCGTGCACGTTTGTGTCATATAGCAGAGTGAACCGCGTGTTTCAGGAGTTGCACACAACACTCTAAAACGTCAGCTTTACAATAGGGACTTTGAGGTGTAAATTCAGAGCTAAAATAAATTCTTACAGTTTTCATCCTGGGCAATGCATTGTAAGGGGATCCCAAAGAAAGACGTATAGCTGTCATTGTACCACACCAGAAGCTCGGTGCCCCTGGGGATATCTATACAGGCTCGGTAGAATATATTCGACCTATTCAAAACAAAAGAAAACCCGGCTTAGTAACATGTAGCACTCATGTGCCCCCATCACATTCTCATTGACCCCCAAAACTTCTGCCCATCTCCACCTACAGTTAATGCTTGCAATAAAACCAGCACCCACCTTATTGTTCCCAGCAGCCAATGAAAGCCTGTAACCCAGTATGATAAACAGCTCACAGTTTATTTCCACAGGGTCTCTTCCTACAGCGTCTTGGCTGAGGAGACTGATATTTGGCCCAGGAGACAGCAAAAAGGAAGGGTTCATTTTTTAAAAAAGAATTCCATCTCACACTGATGAGAAAATTCTCTCTCTTGGCAAATTGCAGACACTGGTGCCTCAACCTTGTATATAAATTAACACTATTGATTTCTTATTTGAAGGAAAAGCATTACGTGTATTCTTGCAACTTGGCATTGGGAGTTCACAAATTTGTAGTAAAATTAAGCAGCTCTGTGATGTAAGGATTGAGAGAAATAAAAGTCCCCTTCCCATCGCCTTCCTTCTAAAGTTAGATACAGGGGAAGAGAAACCCCCTCTTCTGTGAAATGGATGGCAATTCGATAAGTACTAGAGAATCACTTAACTCAGGTGGAAAGATTACACTCTGAAATGATAGAGTGAAGGTACCAAGAAAGAAACATTATTTTACACAGCTTTGGTACTGCAAAGAAAAATTTACAGATTTTTTTTAAAAAATGAGACCGCAACTGGTTTTCTCAATGAAGAATTGCTGCAAGTATTAGCCTCCAGTTTCAGATAAAAGCGTTGAGGGTTGGTGGGCCTTCACTGTAGCCTCTCTGTAAGGAATGGGCTGTATCAGGCAATTTGTTCCTTGTACAACACTGCAGACAGAAGGCGAATCCTTCACCACATTTTTCATAGCAGTGAGATATGCACTTGTCAACATATTTTGTCACCACAAAGTGGCTCTTGGCAATAGGATCATAAAGATCAATAAAAAAGTGCAGATTCTCAATATTTTACTTGCAGCTGCAAAAATTTCATTTATCTTGTTATTTTCCTTACTTGCTGCCATTCTGTCTCACGAGGGCACTGCTAGCTAAGCAGAATGTTTTTCCCCAACATTCTATGAATATCTGACAAAAACTCCAGCCAGTTGTCCGGCCCTCACTACCCTTCCTCCCTCTGCATCCCCGAGCGCTGTGCATTTTATTAATTCTTTCCACTGCTACATAAAAAAAAAAAATCAAAATTGGAGCCGAGCTATAAATCACTGGCATCTCCTAACTTGAGAAAAATTGAGTCTACTTTGTACTTCACCCTTGTAACATTTCATCTCTCGGTTTGGCTTCCCTTAATATAAACACAGCGCCCGGCAAATGAATGTGCTAAAACCAAATGACACACTTTGCCGCTGAAAGAGCAGAACTGTTTTCGAGCGATGGGTGGTCCTCGGAGGCACGGAGTCGGCCGAAAGGGGAGGGGGGGGAAGTGTAAGCGTACACCGTTCCTTACAAGCGGGCAGAGCTTCCAAAACTCGCAGAAATCTCTGCATGCTGAAGCACATCAAAGGGATTTTTCCCTTTTCAGATAATATTTCCTTTGCTGACATGTATTTAGTATTGTGGTTGGATGACTCATAAAGATAGCTCCGTGGCGTCCCCACACAGTTGAAGCAGAGCACATGCCAACAAACATTATTGTCAGCCTCAAAATAAAAACAAAACGTTCAGCTCAGGGTCAATCAATCAAGGGCGCTTTGAAGAAAATTCCATTTAGATATTACAAATCATAACAGAACGAATCTAAACCAGCTGACTTTCTGTGAAGAGGACATTCATGTACAATAAAAATTAGGCTGGCTCTTCAGGGTCCAACTTTTCTATTTTCTTACTCTTGGACGTGGTCACCAGTGATGGATGCCAGTGTTTCTTTTTTTTTAAATTGTGTTTTTGTAGCTCATTTTATAAAGATCTGAAGTAATCGAAAACAGATCGGCACGGCAGAGAGAACTTGGAGTTTAAGCGCCCTCAAGAAAGGGGAGCTATAAAATCCACTTACTATTGACAGCTAGGTAATGACTTACTCATGCCCACCTTCCTCTCTGGGCTTTCTCGTTCGCCCGGATCCCGACTTTGCCTCAAGAGCTCCCTGAGCGCTCGTTACAGGCCCAGCCAAGCTATCTCTTGCTGAATGGACAAGCGCAATCTTTACTAATTTTCTAGCTGCGAGTTTCATAAAACCTTCATCAGAGAAATGCAGCCTCAATAAAGGTGGGCCAGGCCTGGACACAGCAGGGTAAGGAACTACTGCTGTGCGCTGTTTCATGTGACCATTATTTCATGACACATAACTGCACAGGAAACCAAGGCAGTGCAGTGTCACACGCTGCCCAAACACACTCCTTTGGGCTGGAGACCTTCAGAGAGCGAGCCAGAGTGGTGCAGCCTTTAACCTATACGGGGCATAAAGCTCTTTCTCTCTTTTTTAAAGGCTTCATTTTTAAAAAAAAAAAAAAAAAGGAAAGGAAAATAAAGAGCCACAGGCAGAACTCCAAGTTGCCGAGCTCAGGGCCTCTTGCTTTGATGTGTCAATGGTGCCTAATAAAGTTAAACAGTTGCTTCTGATTCTAAAGGGAGCATGGCTGTTTATAACTGAGGTCATGTATTTATATGGCACATGTTTTCGAGGGAATTTTGAGAAAAGAAAGCTTAGTGGTAGGGCTTTTTTCCTATGTGATCGCTTGTCTCCATGCCAGCCTTCTTTAGCACTAAACGGGGAAGCTTGACCAACAGGTGCACTGAGCAGATGTGGCTCAGCATCTGCTTCTCAGCCTCCCCCCCAACCCCACCCCAGAGGCTCCAAGAAATGGGAGTGGCTCCACCTTGTCTTTGGGCAAACAGCTCGGAAAGCAGGGGCTTCCCTGTGCTCTGGAACCGCCTCACCTCCTGAAACATATTCTGAATCGTCCAAGGACCACAGTCCAACGGGCTGGCACCTTTCCAGGGCTCAGAAGAGGTCACTCTGGCTCAGGTGCTGCTGCTGAGCACAGCGGGTTTGGAAAAGCAGCCTTGGGAAGGCTGAGGGACCTTGGTTTCCCGGCCTTTGTGCAAATGAAACTGTTCCTCCGGGGAGAAGGCCTGAAGGTGACTGAAAGCGAGGGGTCTGGGGCTGGATCTGCACCTCTCCGTGTGTGCGCCCATCAGCGGGTGTGCTGGGCCCATTCAGCCAACGTGGGAGTTCAGGTGAGGATGTGGAAATGACTGTACCACGTGCACTGAGTGAAAGAGGCCTTCTACTAGGATCTTTATTCCTGAATTCTCATGCAAGGACTGTTGCAAGAACTAAGGTTTCAGAAACCTAGCCATAAATAAATAATTTCTGCCAGTCCTTGCAGAGGTCCTGCAAAAAGCCCTGCAGAATTGTTTCAAAACTAGCAGCAAGCCTGAATTCGCATATGCAAGCCCAAGGGCTTCCGCTCCGTGAGTGGGAAATCGAGGTATACTTTACCTGTACTGAACTACTGTTAGATTCTGCTCTCCGCAGTGCCTTGCACATCGGATATACCTCATCCAGCTCGACTTACTAGGTTCCCCACCATCAATAAAGTGCTGTAGTGTCCCATCTTGGTCATATATCTAGAGAAGAGGTCAGAAGGTCAAGTAGTTAGAATGAATCATCAGCAATCATTTTCCCTGCTTCCCTTGGTGTCTTTATGTGTCGGCTGCAGAAATTTATTGTCCTCTGCTTTGCTAGTGCCTTATTGATGCTCATGGAAACTCAACCGGAATAACAGGGAAATATTTTTCAGTGATGCAAGTCAATCACACTCTTCTTATCAAGCCAATCTTCCCTGTATTAAACATATTTGTGGTATCTCAAGGATGTGAGGGACCATGTTTCCCAAAGGATATTTAACCTATTTTGACAGGCTTCTCTTAAGTAATGAGCTGCTGGGTAAACAAAGCCAGCTGAAAGGGGAGGCCACACGGACACGGCTGGAACATCCACACTGCAGGCCTCCAGGCTCCAGCACACAACTGTCCGAAGGCATTCGGAGGCAGCAATCGCCTGCCCTGCAAGCTGGGCGACACCCAACAGGAGGCAGGTGGAGAGTGATGGAGCTGTACCAGCCCTGGTCAAATAGACTCTGATGTGGATGAAATAAATGGACTCTCACCTCAAAGAAGATGTAGGACTGCAACTGTCCGGACCTGAAACTACTAGGAGAGGAGTCATCAAAAAAGAGAGAGCCTCGAAAAGGAAAAAATACTGTTTTCTATGGATTCAAATGTCATAACTGAGGTTGGTCTAGTAACAATTGCCTTGGGTCATCTCAAACAGATTTTCTTTCAACACTGCATTCAAAGAAATGAAATCTGCTTCAAACCAGGCAATCAGCATGGGACAAAAAGATCTTATGCAAAACAAGTAGCCAGCCAGGCACAGGTGGAGTCAGTGCCAACAGCAGAGGCAGGCAGCTTCCAGGAGCCAGGTCAGCCCTGGGCACCTGGGAGGATGTGGTCCCTACAGGAGTGGGAGATCAGGGGTTAGATATGGACAGCAATTCTAGGTCATTCCCTGTCCAAGGAGGATCCAGGAAGTGGTACAATTCTCAGAAGGACCATTGTGAAGCTGGACCTTTTCCAATAAAATCAGTGGTGGTATCTAACACAGCATGCCCAGAGCATTCTAAGAAATCATGTCTTTTACTCTTGCTAATCAGCTTTACACTTCTTCCTCAACAGTCATAGAGAGTAAGTCTTACAGAGCCTCACTGGTTACATGTAGGTCTTAAAATTACTATGGTCATTCACATTAATTTAGCTCAGCATTTCTATTGTGGGGGGTCAAAGGGCTTAGTGATGACAGCCCCCCCCTTTTTAATCACCATTTTAAAACAGCTCGGTTTTATTTCTTTTCTTGAACTCAGTTTTCCACCCCAACCTTTCCACTAACCCCCACAAATAAAAGATAGACACCAATCTAATAAAGACTATTGTTTGAGAAGTTATGATGGCATCAGATGCCAGAGTGGTCCCAGCTGATAATCATTATAGTCAAGAAGAATGAATAAATCATTACATTATATTTCAGATTAATAACTTCTTTAAATTCCTGGTTTGGGGATGATGGCAGAGAATGGAATCATTTCGGGGGGTGGATACATCTGTTGCATGAGCAATCTGACGACAGACTTGGTATTTAGGTTAGATGGCACTGTAGTTATTTTATTGTTTTTGTTTTGGTTTGTTTTGATTTTGTTTTAAGAAGCTCGTTCAAAGATTGAAGGTCTCAACCCCGAGCCTGCTGTTGACAGCCCATGAACACTGAACAAGGCCATCAGTTCCTTAAATGCCACTGTTTATCTAATATGGAGCCAAAAATGTTGATGGCCCAGCCCTCTGCCCTGTCCTTTCCCCATGAACAAACAAGCCTTCCAAGAGAACTGCTGGTGAAAATAATTATGAAGCATTTTGAGAAATGCAATTCTCCTTTGTGCTTCTAGCCAATATCCCAGCAAGGAAAACTCTCAACATTTATATGTAGTGGATGCTACCTTCTGTGTTAGCTCATCTGAACACCAGACACTAGCCAATCAGTCTTGCAAATAAATAGAGCATAAAAAGTGTTTCCTCCTACACTCTTGTTTCAACATTAATTTCCTTAAATTAAGCATATTGTGACTACAGGAATCCTACAACTTTTGTCTGTCCAATGAAACTGCTACTTGCCTTAAAGAAAAGTAGACAGCTGCTTGGTCAGACTTCTTATAAATATCACACAATGTAGAACATGGCGTGAGGTTGAGTCTCCCTAGGTTCAGCTAATACTGATATTAAACTATTTCACAGGAAGCTGTGATGAAAATCCCGTACACCTAATTAGAGCCCATAATCGTGCAGCCAATCAGAGTTGAGGAAACTCATTTGATCTTGATTGATCCTCTTCCTGCCCTCAGCCCCCGGAGCCCAGCTATCACCAAAGCCGGCTGAATTTGCCTCTTCAACTTTTCAGGTGCATCCATCTCTCCCTCCGCAGTTAGCCTCCTTGCTCACAAAAGTATTGCAATAGTCTCTTAACTGATCTCTCTACAGCTTCTCCAGGCTTCCTCCAACCTCTTCTCTAAATGTAGCCAGAGTGATCTTTCGGAACACAAATCTGATGACCTCCATATCACCCAACTCTCCCCCAAATAAAAAGCTTCATAAATGTCATAAAACCTCAAGTCATAACAAAGTTTATCCACAGTAGGTGGGAGTTCATCCTGCTCTTGTGGCCAGCGCCTCCTATCAGTTACGCAGGGAGGCCAAACGTGTGCTTCTGCATTGGGCCCCATATCTGTTAAGAGTTAACATTTAAACTCAGTGTTTCTTAAAAGAGAAACAATGGACCAGAAGGCACTGATGCCTATTTCTGTTCATTCCTCTAGTTAAAGGAGAATAACATTGGGAAAACACCCAAATGTGAGTGCTAAATGGGAATTAAGGACGACGTCTCAAAAAGGCTCTAGGTACTAATTTGGGCCCTATCATTATTCTCCATCACCAGCTCAACTTTGTTTCCATCGAAGAGCTCAGTTTAAAAAAAAAAAGAAGAAGAAGAAGGGGGTAAAATCCTGCATGTAACTCAAGCATACAAGGACACTGTGCCTTACCCATCTACTGTACCAGAAAGGGGCTGATGTTCTGCCTCCTATGTGAAAGGGGAAATGTTCCAACCGGTTTCAGTCTAGAGTACCAGCAACAATTTCAAGTTCAGGAAGCTCTTCGAGGTTGCATTAACATCTACATTTGTGTGACACTAAAGGAAAATTTGAAGTTCAATACTGAATAGGTGTAAAAATGTAAGGATTTTAAGGAGACAAATTAATGCCAAAACCAAGAGTTATTTTGTATTTATTACCTTTCAGAAGATTTTAAATAAGCAGAAAAATATTAGAAGCCATATACAAAGTGTTTAGACAATCCCCTTAGGACCTATGTATGTGTGAAAGGTGAGAAATTTTATTCATTCAAATAGTGAGAATGAAGGCAAAGAGTTAGATTTAGATTAGGGAAAGGTCTGTTCTGAAAGAATGCTTGACTTCAGCAGTTTTGATGAAAACTGGATTTTATCCTGAATGAACATAAACAACCAAAATGTTGAGTTGAAAATGACTCAACAATTTCAGATCTAGAAAGTTACTCCAATAAAACTCTGATACGTGTGCTTGAGGGGACAAGTTCAAGGGCATTCTCTGTTGCACTGTTCATAATAGTGAATGATGAGTATCATCAGAAGAATAAATAGTGGCTTACTTATTCAACGCAATAGTATAAAGAACTTAAAATGGCTGAACTAGATCTGTATATATTAAGATCCAGTTCATATAGATAAATACCAAAAAATATACCTTGACTGAGAAAATCAGGTTGCATATAATACCATTTGTTAACATTTCAAAATGTACAAAATAACATTATTAATAGCCTACCTTATAATAGTGTTTATTGTGATATACATATGGCCATGTATCTATCTATCTATCTATTTATCTATCTATATCTATCTACATACTTATTGTAAAATTCTGAAAAGGCACACTGGAAAGATTCCTGATAACGTCCTCATAGTACTGGCTTATTGGAAAGAAGAGAGTGTAGTAAAGGGAAGTAACACTTTCTCTGCAATGCTTCATTTTTCCTAAAAAATAAAAATAAAAAATTCCTGAGCAAATTTGGACAAGTATTAACACTTACTTTTTTGGTGGCCTGTATACTGGCTTTCTATATTATACTTCCTGCTTTTTAGTGTGTGTTCTTCCCCAAAAAAAATCAAGGAGAGAAAAATAAATAAAAAGAAAACCTAGCCATTTCTTTCTTTGCAGATTAGTTTTTGCATGTGTTGTTAAAATAAAGAAGCTGACTATTTTACTCAAGATTAAAAACTATACCTGTATTATGCTCCTGGGAAAAACAGTTGTAATACATATCACTACATTATTAATCACTGGTTTCTTTTGTGATTGTTGCTGTTGATAATAGAAAGCCACTGTTTTGGGTCTGTACTTTCTCTTTTATCTTGTATCAATGGGAGCAGAAACAAAGGGAAAAGAGCTAATTTTTACCAAGTTAAGGGGGTTTTTAAAGTTCTCAATTCAATCATACTTATTGGGATGTAACATATGGGGTTGAAATAACAATCACAAATTCTCCCTCATTACAAACCATGTGTGGCATTAACTGAAAACCACCAGGCAAAAGACGTGTTTTATTGCAATCCTGGATATTAGGAAGCACCACTCTTTCCCACAATCTTATTTTCCTAGAACAAGAATCTACTTTAAATGAGAACAGCATGAGCAAAAAATGCACCAACATTGTATCTTATAAACCCTGGTTACGAGTGGCCTGTCCATGGCTCTGTCATTTATAAATGCTGCCAACTTACATTAACAATAATAATAATCATAGAGACAGTGTGAGCCAGAGACCGACTTGGGCCTATTTTAATATAATAGCAAGAAAACCATCTTTTGAATGATAAGAATTCGTGTATGTTGGTGCCTCTGAGCAATCTGTTTCTCTAAAGTCAGATCTGCAGACTAGTGGCTCCCAGGCTGAATTTGGGCAATTGACCAACACTGCTTTTCCTCCACTTACATGCATAGCCCCTGGACACGGGCAATAGGGTGGTGAAGATGGGGGGAGGGGGGCAAGGAGGGGCTGGG